ATGTTACGCAAAGGCGTTGATGTAAGGCCGACCCGGCCGTCCCTGGGTTTAGCTGGTTCTGATGCTCCAGTGTTGCCGCGATGCATCCGAGTAATGCCGGGTCGCGCAGGCCAGAGTGCTAAAACTCCGGAAATAGCTATACATGTTGTATTTGCAGGCCAGAAACCACAGTGCGGAATAGACTATCATCGCATTTTTTGACACCAAGATGTTAAATCTTGTGACGTCAATTCATTTGCAACGCTTTCGAGCCGCAGTGAGGCCCCTTGTGCAGGCTCTGCCTTTTGTTTGGGCAGCAGGTTTGGGAATGAGCACAATACCTCACATCTTTCGGCCCAACTGGGCATTTCTTAGGGTGGTCAGTGAGGTCTCATCTCGATCTGCTTCCAGCTTTGTGACAGAGAGAACTGGCGTTGGTGCCACGGAACAATCCATTGCTGCTGGAGCGTGCTGGGACATCTGGCCATGTCGCTCAACTGCAATTGTTGCTTTTCCCCTGTCGTTGATGGAACAGGGTTGATATAATTGAATATAAGTTGAGATTGAATCCAAATTCAGAAGCGTCTTTCCGCATTTTTTCTTGGTTCTATGGAGTCTATGGTGGGGTCAGTGGGACTTGGAGGGGTCGTGCTGTTCTTGTCAAGCTGAGGTATTCGTAGATGCCGACAGCGCCAGAGCAGAATTGTCGACAGGACTTCGAGATGCAAAAAGGATTGTCCCCCAGGGGTCGCGAATACATGAGCCATGCCTGGTTTATGGTTGTTACATCTGGACTGTGTGAAGCTTATCATATATGGATGCCAAAATTATAATCAAAGGTGATTAAAGTTATATTCAAACATCAAGTTGGACCAGGATTTTTGTTGCCAACAATAGACACAAATTGTGGCCGTTTGCAGCTGGGTGGCTGTTGGCGCTTTGAGTTAGGGCGGCACAAACAGAGATGACGCATGGTGTCGTAGAAGCAGGAACTTCTTCAAGCAGGAACAAAAAACATGGGACATCATGGGACGCACACGGAGTTTGAATAGGACATTATTCCTGAGAACAAAATTGCTGTAAGCGATAACCTAATAACATGGATACTTAATAAAACCATCAAATGACATCATCGAAAATGGCGCTTGCATCTCTGATCATTTGTTGTCTGAATATGTCTGAATGGTTTTCCAGAATTTGATGGAGGAAATCTGATCAGTGCCAGTTTTAGTCAGTTGATGTGCATTTCGATCTTGGCATCTTTGGACCATGGTTTCAAGAATCCTGGGGCCGTTGTTGCAACGGAGTGTCGCAGACCATTTCGATGTGTCCAGTCAGGAACCTTAGCGATTTGGGAGGGCTAGATTGCTTGCCCAGGGTCTCTGTTGATCGCATGGTAGTTTAGTTCTTTCATGTATTTTTGCATTAAAATATGATCTGAAATAAGCAAAGGTTTTGTACTGGATATGTTCTCGATGCATTCGCATACTACGGGGAACATCATGTTTACTGATGGCAGAGTGAGGCTGGACCCCAGATGCCAGTCATACCGGGTATCTAACATGGAATTTAGGCACCATGGGTTGACTGTTTCATCATGTCAAGTTCAAAATTAAAGGACCGGACAACCCCACATGTCAACTTCTTCCAATAAGTTGCAAAAGAAAGGTGAAGACGGGATGGGAAAGGCAACAAAGAGACAGGAGATGACGGAAGGCAGATTGTGTGAAACAGGTACGTACGAGAGAGTTGCGCGTGAGAGAGTTGCTTGTGAGAAGGTTGTGTGTGAGCAAGTTGTGTGTGAGAAAGTGTGTGTGAGTTGCGTGGAGATGGTGGAAGAGAGATTGTGTGAGGGTGAGAGAGTTGTATGTGAAAGAGTTGTGTGTGAAATTGCTGTGTGGCATGTGTGGCCAAAGACAGTTGCGCCAAGACCATAGAGAGCGGTCTTGGCAACTTCTTGTCTTGGCTGCAAAGAATTGTTGCTGACAGACTGCTGCCCGGACCGTCATGAAAACTGACGGTTCGTCGCAGGTGTCTGCGGCAGGCCGCCGCTTGCCACGTAGCGACGGGAGCACGTGCACGTTGAAGCAAGTGAAAACACACGAAAAGAAAAAAGTTGAGTTCTGGAGCATTTCATTGACAATCCTGTGACCCTCGAACAGGTGATGCACTCAGACAGCGATGATGGCCTGTTGAATCGGTCCCGCGGTATTGAGCAGCTCGAGGGGATCAAAAAGAGCCGATTTCCATGAAATAAGTCAACTTTTCAAACCAGATATCAAAACCCCATTGGATGTAAATTTAGATATCAAATGCTCCTGTGGGTTTTCATTTAAGGTTTTTTTACGCTGCCTCATGAAATTCCCCCAACATGCCATGGTTCAGGCATTTAGGGAAAGTGAAGATGCACCTGCGGGCTGGTCCTGAGGGGAAAATCTGTTCGCTGTGGACTTCTGTTTTTTTTTTAAATTGGTTTCAAGTATATATCCAAATGCACCGAAGATATCGATGTATGACAGATTAGGACAAAGCCTGGCTGGGCACCACGTCTCCTTGGGCGATGTATTTTCAACCGATAACGTGGGGTGAAACAAAGAATTTGCCAGTCTGTTGATGGTCGTTCGTCGCATGCCGCAGAGGTCGATATGGCTCATGCTGACGAATGAGGTGCCGGAGTCAAAAATTGCGGGGGTGCTTCAGAACTTCTTTTTGGATTTTGGATTTGGACAAGGGAAAGCCACAAGACTCACAGGGGCGTGGGACATTCATGCTGAACTCTTTTGGAGACTTTTTTCTTCGATTCCCAAATTTCCATTATGACATTGTTATGAGTGATTGATGGGAAATCCCATTCTGAAATCCATTAACGTGCTCATCGAATTTCGGGCTGCGCGTCGCCTTTACATCACCCCCAGGCTGCTCTTCGCGACTTGCTGGCCAAACACCAGTGCCTGGCCGATCGGGTTCTCGTGTCCATCTTGTGAAGAAGTTCACCAAAAACTCAAAAACATTCCACAATGACTCATTCTGCATAATTTTGCCCATGGCTTTGTTAATTGAATGGTGGATTGTGACAATGAGTCATATGACTTCCACAAAAAACTCATTATATGATAGTTTTGTCACTTCCCATTTGCATGTAACGTGTTCCTGTTTTTCTTTGTGGATGGTTGATGCTTGTTGGGCAAAATATTCCTCTTGTGATGCCATCATAGCTACATTGGTGGATTGTATGACGCACGCCAGAAGCCATACTTCTTGCGTAGCGAATAGGCTCCATTTTTGATACTAAATCCAATCTGTGGTTTGCCAAGGTTTTTGATGAAAAATAACCTCAAGCCTTTCCCAGCCATCCTTGCGAGTTTTAGTTGCAATGAATTGTGTAGCAAAGCCCAGAAAGCAGTCTTGCCTGGCTTGTTCTGTCAGAATCTGATGCGCTGGTTCCAACTGTGTCGACATCTCGGGATGCAGCGACATACAGCGACATCCGGCGACATCCGGCGTCGATGGAGAGTTTGCGAGGTGTGACATGATCCTGCTGAGGTGTGAACCAGCCTGAGTTCAAGAAGATTCTTGGACGGTCAAAATGCCAACTGAGGCGGCCACTTGGGAGCTGCCCAAATTTCATTTTGCGCAAAGTCTTGCAATTTGGAGGGCAAAGCTCCGGAAAGGATGCGAAGAAGGATGCGGCTCCCAAGAAGGATGCGGCCCCCAAGAAGGATGCGGCCCCCAAGAAGGATGCAGCTCCCAAGAAGGATGCGGCTCCTAAGAAGGATGCTGCACCCAAGAAGGAAGGGAAGAAAGACAAGAAGGTTCGACCTCTGCCGCTCACAAATTTTACAACTTTCCCAGGCCTTCCAAAGGCCAGGTTAAACTTGGCCGTTGCACTAACAGCCGGCCGTTACCAAAAGACCATCGAAAACCCATGGTATTTATTTAAATAAATTTACATAATGGTCATGTTGATCTTGGGAATCTTGGGATATATGTTAACATATATAAGGGTAAACCCGCCAAACCCCACATACACTCCACAGCCTCAGCAACAACAGCTGCGCATCAACCAATTTCAAGTCTATAAGTGCCAAGACTGCTTGAAATGACCAATGGTTCCAAAGATTTCAATGAAAAGCCCGTGAAAAGACTACACAATACCCAAACAAATGAGTAAAACTTAGGCGCAAGTTTTTGGTGGCTTTTCACGGGTTTTTCACGGCCTTTTCACGGGTTTTTCACGGTCGTTTCACGGACTTTTCATGGTCCAGATTTTGTGGGAAATTTCAGGTGCAGTAGGTACTTTCACTAGATCATATTCTGTTTTGTATTTGGTGACATCATGATCTAAGATGCAGACGTTTGTGCAGAGCCCGTGCTCCCAGGCGCATTTTGCTTGCATCGAATTGAACCACATTGCCTTTTTATCCACCTATCTATTGACCATGATTTCCCAACATGACATGTGAGCTTCCTGGACAAGGTATGTATAATGGTTATAAACATAGCTATAAAAAGGAGCATCTTCCAAGAGCCAGGTTAAACCTGGCCGTTATTAAAGACCAGGTTAAACTAGGTCGAGGAAGGGCTGGGTTTTCTTTGGAAGATCAGAAGTCTCTCCACTGCAACTCTTTTCCGTGCCTCAGGATGGCGAAAAAGAGGACGCCGAGAGCAGAACGACTCATAGCCACTGCATTGTTCTCAGGAGGCCCCAGCTGCAGAACTTACACCCGAAGAAGCAGAGAAGGCAAAGAAAGACAAGTTGAAGAAGGTGCTTCAGTTTGATGCTGCATAATACTCCACAAATTGATTCGCATTGCTCCATGGTGCTTCACGTATCTAGAAGCATCTGGCTGATTTTGATCTCTGTCTCAAGTAGTTGATAAGGTCATCAAAGAGGGAGGAAAGCGTGGAGTTGAGATTGAAGGCAACGGAGTGAGCAGTCAATGGCATAGCGGCATAGCGACATAGCGGCATATCGGCATACAATTCATGCGTAGATCGCAACTTTCACAGGAGCTGCCGACATGGGTGGGCTGCAGTTCTTCTGCACCTCAGTTGATCAACCAGAGGCACTGAACTTCAACAGCAACTTCGACATGAACACAACAGTTAATAGACTCCGACCATTTTCTGGACACTGGACACTGTTTTGATCTCTTGGCTCATTGTTTTGCATCAGTTTTGCATCATATTCAGAATATGGCATCATATGAGCTGTGGTCAATACTCACCAAAAATGGTTGATGGTCATCCCATCCATAATAAGGATCCAAAAATCATGGTTATTATAAATCCCATCCTGAACCATTGGATGACTTGACCATGGCTAGCCATATGGCATCAAAACTGCATCGCGTCGCATCGAAGGGAGACCTGGAGCTCCTGGAGAAATGTGTCGAAGCCATGAATGCCAAGAGCGATCCTTCAGAGGAGGAGAACAGGTTAAACATGGTTAAACAGACAAAACATCCGAAAAAACAATTTTAATACAAGTATATAATTTCATGTAATGTCCATCAATTTCTTAGAGAATGTAAACATTGTAGCCATATCATGCCATATCATGCCATATCATCATATCCATATGCCACATATGTACCACAGCACAGGATCATGATTCTGGCACTACAGTCGATGGAGCGGATACAGCATGGGACTAGCATTAATATTTTGAGAACTCTTTGTCACATTCACAGGAGCGAAAAGGCGGGTCAGGGCAGATTGGCAAGGCAAGGGCCTCAGTTGGACGGTTTCAAAGTGTGAACCTTTTGCAAAACTCTAGGCGGAAATCCTTTTGTGTGGTATATAATATACTATACACTATAATATATATATACATACACATAAATACAATATATATATATAAGCAATATGATATGATGTTATGCATGTGTATACTATACTATATCAAGTTACATACGTGCAATCTAGTCCCAATCAGAAGAATAGCAAACATGAATGTAGTAATCATAATGTAAATACTGTAATATACAATAGTAATATATCATAGTATATATCAAATGACAATAGTAATCTATACAATCTATAATCATCATATATCATCCTCTTGCTTCACTTTGTCCAGATGGTCTTCTCCTGCGGTGTAGAGCATTTGGCAGTCGTGGCGTGCCCCTGTCATCGGTGCCACGGCCGGTGCATTGCCACGGCGGGCACCACACTTCCACTGAGTTCCGGTTGCGCCGGGTGCGGGTCAGGTACGTGCCAGATGAGAAGCAGAAAGATCTCAGCTGTGAGGAGAGCTGTGAAGTTATTACATTGGAAGAGCATGGGAAAAACCATGAAAAAACACTCCTATACATAACCTATATCTGCCTATCCCGTGCTTGTAACATCCACATCACATTTCCAGCACATTTCGATGTGACGTGTGCCGCAGTGTGTCATGTCGTGTCGATTCGTGTCGATTCGTGTCACGAGGAATGGCTTGGTGCAGTGTTGGCCACCCAAGGCGGCGAGGCCTTCGCCTTAGCACGACACAGACACATCTGACATAGGGAATCCATGCCGTATCCATGGGTTTTCCAGCATTGTAACATCCTACCCTCTGGTAATTTAACATAGCTATTGAAAATCACCATTTTTAATGGGAAAACTCACTATAAATGGCCATTTTCAATAGCTATGTTAAATTACCAGAGGGTAACTGCTGAGCATCTTCCAAGGTCCTGAAAAAAGGTGCCAGCATTTCTGTTGGCAAAGTGGATCGCTCAGTGGGCAGTGCTCGTTGATGTTTGCCTTCCGCGATCCATGTTATCAGGTCAAGGCCAATGCAGAGAAGGCACAGGATGATGAGAGATTCAGAAAATCAGCAGAATGATGTGGATGTGGATGTCGCAGGGCGTGTTTCCTCTGAAGTTCAGTACTCAGAAGAGCAGAAAGATCATCAAATAATATGAAACATCAATGAAAGATCTAGTCTTGTGCTTGTGGATGGCGACTTTCCAAGGATCCGTGAGCCCATGATCCGTGAGGCAAGATTCAAATGCAGCCAGATTTATCCAGCTGCACACCAAAGGACACGTCATTTCTGTGACCCTGCATATCCCTGTGCTAAGCCATCTGATACTTTTCGCAGGCGAACGACTTTCTGCGAAAGAAGGGTCTCTTCCCGGAGGACGCCGAACATGGAAAAAATGAAGAAACATCAATGAAGAAATGACATCATCATATGAAGATATACGTTTAGAATCGTTTAGACATGTTTTTACTAGGTTTTTACGTTAGTTACATCAAATTAATTAGAGAAAGTCACCATGGCACCGGAGCTGCAGCTGCTGACCAATGCTGACCAGGATAACGATGATGACGATGATGAGTGCGTCTTCGGAGATGACGACTTCCCAAGCTAAAGCTTTGGAGATGTGCCAGAGTCTTCACATTGGACAGATGGCGTTGATTATATGGAAAAAACGATGGAAAAACGATGAGCCAAGAGGCTCTTGTTTGTGACTCTTCAAGCTCTTTTGGCTTGAAATGCCATGCAGTCAGACTGCACAAACTTTTCTTTGTGCAGCATCGAGGATCTCACCCAGAGTCCAGTAGAGATACGAGCCAAGTGGACCAAAAACTGCGGCCAGGGCGACATTCTTCGTCCATGGTCACACAGCGGGGCTTTTTCTTTGAATGTATGTTTTATGATATTAATAACAAGCACACACACACACAGAAACGAAGAACTCTTTTGGAGACATTTTTCTTTTCGATTCCCATTCTGAATTCCATTCGCATGGTCATCGAATTTCGGGCTGAGCGTCCCCTTTACATCATCCCCAGCTCCTAAACCTCCGAAATCAGTCGCCTCAGCCCATAGATCCAGGGTTTGTGTCGAAACAAAGGGAGACCGGACGTGATGGGGACAATGGCCAAAAATGAACAAGGCAAAATTGAGCATTGATCATGGTTTTAGGGTCCCCCATGTTTCCCGCTATATTTTTGTATATTCTTGTAGTCTACTAGGTATCCTCGCATTCAAAACTCAGATGACCGAAGCGATTAGATACTTGACATTTAAGATGGACTCTCGTGACTTGTGTAAAGTGTAAAACTTTGAGAGTTGACACCATCGAAATCAAGTAGGCATATAGACGCTCCACCATGTAGATCCTTTTCTTTGTTGTTTGTGGTCGTGAAACACCTGGCTACACCTGGCTCTTTTTTGGCTCAAAGAAGGAACAGGTGAATCGCTTTTGTCACGCCTGACTGAGCTCAAAGTGCGCAGCATGTTAATGGCCAAAGGCGCCTCAAGGCAAAGCATGCCGATGAGTTGCTTTGCGTGGCTTCACTACAGTGATCTAGGAATCTAGGCGTGTCAGATGTGTCTTTGTGACGCAAATCACTGTCACTCGCCTAGCGCTTGCCGAAATATGGGTGAGGAATCTCGATAGCCAGAGGTCAGCTTGTGCAGAACGACTCGAGACAGCCTCCGTGTTAAGACAATCGCAAAGAGAAGTAGAGCTGAATATAGCTGAATCTGCTTTTTCACCTCCATGATACTGTACCCAGTTTGGACGATGGCAAAAGAGAAGTACAGCTGAACCCGCTCCTCTCATGAACGTGCTTTGAATGGTTTGGATGACAATGTAGCAGTCCTGCACCCCACATGGTGCCAGTATCCCCCCCCCTTTAACCCTGGAATATTTGGGGGGGGGGTAAGGCAAGAAATTTCTGAGAAATATTTCACCTGACCACGTGAAATATACCCCCCCCCACGTTTTTTTTTGGGCTTCTAAAAGACGTGGGGGGGGGGGTTCCTCCGGATGCCACATTTGCCATCCCTGGAGGAGCCCCTTGTTGTTTTCTACCCTGGTGGTAAGAAATGCCACGGTGAAATTTTTGAGGGGGGGTAGGTGCAAAACCATGGTATTTTACAGTTCTAGGAGGGTCCCCCCCCAATAAAATCCATTGCCATCCCTGGAGGAGCCCCTTGGTCCAGCCTTGAATTCAACCACGCCCAAAGCCATTATAGACCAGAATTTTTTAGCTGAAATATTTCACTTTAGGAGATGAAATATTTCAAGGTGTGTGGGGGGGGGAGACTCCCCCCTAAAGTAAAATATTTCAGTTTTTACCCCCCCCCACCCCCCCCCTTAAAAGGGGGGGGATGTGCCAGTGAAGACAGAGGCAGGCCCACGTGTGGTTGCTTCTGCACAGGGATTGCAATTTGGATGTTGCAAAACCCATTCAAGGCACGAAAATAGAAAGTTATCTTGGCCGACTACCAACATCCCGAAAGATATACTGAAAATCCCAATATCCAGAGATATTTGCCCCCATGGTCCCAAAATTGATTCTGGATATTTTTTGTGTACCATGTACGCCTGGGGGTTGTTCCTTTGCAAATCAACCCTTGGCGTAGCAGGGGTGGTTGGGCCACTTGCTTTGACACTATCCATCATCTAATAGACAAATTCGACACCAATACATCCAAATGATTTCATCTATGCAGGTGGCTTGGCCATGACAACGTTCTAAGCAAGTTTCCAGCTGCGGAAATTGCCCATTGCCCAGTCTTGGCTTTCGACACTGCAATGCAAACCAGGTCAAAATGCTCGAGCATAGTTAAACTGACCAGGGGCGCCATTCAGAATTTCAGAAGTGGCCAGAAACAGTCTTTTCCAAAGACCATGTCAAAAGTCGTCTTCGACAGTCAGGGTGTCACCCTAGCGTGAAAGAAACGTCCAACGATAACACAATATTTGAATTGACGCAATATTGCTTTTACTCAGAGGGCTCTATCCCATGAAGATTGCATCGATTTGGAACCCTTTCAAACCGCAGTGGTTCCCCATTGTGTAGGCTTTGCCTTTTGTTTGCACAGCAGGTTTGGGAATGAGCACAACACTCGGCATCCCTCGGCCCAACTGGGCGTTAGTGCGGGAGGTAAGTGAGGTCTGGTCTCGATCTGCTTCCAGCTTCGTGACGCAGAGAACGGGCAGTGGTGCCATTCATCCAACAGACAGAACCTGTGACATTTCCCGGCTCGAGAAATTTGGTTCCTGAATGCTGGTCAGCTTGCCAGTCGGGTTGCTTGCCAAGAAGTGCCTCATCTGTGGCTGGATTGTATTTTGATCATGTTTGATCTTTTTTGATCTGTGGGATCTGTGGGCCTTTTCCTGTCATGAAAATTTCCAAGCTCACACACAATTCAAACCGCAAGGTATATCAGAAATCCTCATAGCGCGAAAACAATGTCCAACAATTTCGCGAGATTGTGGGGATAGCCTTTGTGGGAGAGCGTTCCCAGTAGAAGCATCAAGTTTTGCCCCACTGTCATCCACGCCCTGATCCAGTACATCCCAACATTGGCGCTCGACCATCCCAAACGCTACACACAACAATTCGAGGGGTATATGTGCCCAACACCATGTCAAATAAACATTGAGGCCAAGTATTCAATAACACAATATTTGAATTGTCGCAACATTGCTTTTACTCAGAGGGCTCTATCCCATGAAAATAGCATCGGTTTGGAACCCTTTCAAACCGCAGTGGGTCCCCATTGTGTAGGCTCTGCCTTTTGTTTGCACAGCAGGTTTGGGAATGAACACAACACTCGGCATCCCTCGGCCCAACTGGGCGTTAGTGCGGGAGGTAAGTGAGGTCTGGTCTCGATCTGCTTCCAGCTTCGTGACGCAGAGAACGGGCAGTGGTGCCATTCATCCAACAGACAGAACCTGTGACATTTCCCGGCTCGAGAAATTTGGTTCCTGAATGCTGGTCAGCTTGCACACACAATTCAAACCGCAAAGTATATCAGAAATCCTCATAGCGCGAAAACAATGTCCAACAATTTCGCGAGATTGTGGGGATAGCCTTTGTGGGAGAGCGTTCCCAGTAGAAGCATCAAGTTTTGCCCCACTGTCATCCACGCCCTGATCCAGTACATCCCAACATTGGCGCTCGACCATCCCAAACGCTACACACAACAATTCGAGGGGTATATGTGCCCAACACCATGTCAAATAAACATTGAGGCCAAGTATTCAATAACACAATATTTGAATTGTCGCAACATTGCTTTTACTCAGAGGGCTCTATCCCATGAAAATAGCATCGGTTTGGAACCCTTTCAAACCGCAGTGGGTCCCCATTGTGTAGGCTCTGCCTTTTGTTTGCACAGCAGGTTTGGGAATGAGCACAACACTCGGCATCCCTCGGCCCAACTGGGCGTTAGTGCGGGAGGTAAGTGAGGTCTGGTCTCGATCTGCTTCCAGCTTCGTGACGCAGAGAACGGGCAGTGGTGCCATTCATCCAACAGACAGAACCTGTGACATTTCCCGGCTCGAGAAATTTGGTTCCTGAATGCTGGTCAGCTTGCACACACAATTCAAACCGCAAAGTATATCAGAAATCCTCATAGCGCGAAAACAATGTCCAACAATTTCGCGAGATTGTGGGGATAGCCTTTGTGGGAGAGCGTTCCCAGTAGAAGCATCAAGTTTTGCCCCAGTGTCATGGTAGGTTCAGCTACAGGTACCTGAGTCAATGTG